AAAAAAAAAAAAAAAAAAAAGAAAACGGCGAATTCTTTCACGAGCAGCCACGTCACGAAATTAAAAAGGAGGGAAGAAAAGCTTGCTTATATTTTCATAAACCGTGAAGATTAACGTAACTCGACGCATCGTGCGTGATGCGCGCACACACGCTCGCGTACACTGTTGAAGAATTTAAAGGATCGACGCTAGCCATTTCGAGCCGTTCCGCAATAGTCATTACTCCGGGGATTGTCAACTGCCAAGGATGACGTGTAATCATGATATTGGAACGTAACCGAGTTATCAGGGCGCAGGATGGGTCAGCCCTTTCCTCCAGGGTCCCCGATCGGTCTCTGTACACGCTGCACAACCTCCACGGACATGTCAACACACTGTTTGCGCAGCAGCAACACGAGCCACGTTCTATTGGAATTATGGCGAATAGCGTAAAACGATAAGCCGAAACTGCAGCCAGTTCCTAATTGGCGCTCCGTGTTCACGATTCATGCATGAATTGATATTTCTCTTCAAATTGATTTTTAATTACACCGAGAATTTGATAAATTCTCAAACGTTTAAGATATAGATGAGATAATTGGCGAGTGTTGAGAATTAAAAAGAAATATACGTACGTAACCGGATGAAAATCGAATGTAATTTAATCGTCAATAAACGAGCGATTTCTTCTTTCAAGGAATAATATTGCAACGTCGTGAAAACCTCGACAAATTATTAATTCCACGCGAAAGAGCTGCATCGTCAATGGGCGAACCAGTGGTTTCCGGCAGCGTGGAGAGAAAGGAAGGGGATTCCCTTTCAACCGCGATTCCGCGATCGAACAAAAGCCGGCCAGTTTAAACAGCTAAGTGCATCACAAAGGGGGCGGCAAAAACCGTGCTCCGGCTGTTTACGTAACCGAATCGATGAAACGGTGTTTCAGGCCGTCCTCTCTCCGGGAAACATAAATTATAAACGAAAAGAACAGTGGAAAACTTTCCATCCCCGGATCCCCTGTCCCCTCGAGCCCCGTCGTCGCCACTGCCTCCGGTGCACTCCGATATTTGTCTCGACGACAGTACAAGGGCAGCATGTTTTCGACGACGATGAAGAAAACAGTCAGACGGGAGTTTCGTGCCTCTCCGCATGCGAGATGAAAGAGGAGGAGAAAAACGGACGGAGTTTGGGAAAGATGGAAGAGAGGAGAGGATGGTCTCGATCGGGGCAGCCAAGTGTAACCGAAATTGTTCGACGTCGACCCACTTTGTTCTGTTTTCGCGCTACGTTACACGTGCCGCCCGGGTTTTAAATCCCGATTATCAGTTCCGACGATTATCCTTCGACACTCGTCCAAGTTCTTCACCTATTCTCTTACATCTTATATCTTGTACATTCTCCCTTGCTTTCTCTTATTTTCACTGCCTTTCGTCCTCGCGCGAGAATATGCATGCGAGCGTCTCTCTCCTCCCCCTTCGTGTCGCGCGAGCAACGAAACGAGCGGTTTTCGAAACTTTTCTGAAATATCCGAGCCTCTTCCATGCATTCGAGAGTTCAAGAATGCGTATCCTCCTCGGTTCCTGTGGATACCATCATCTTGTTCCACCTTTCCCCCGCTCCACTTCA